TGTACATGTAGAGGCATGACAGGGTGTTTGTGTGGAAGACAGAGGACAACTTACAGGGATCAGGAGTCAGTTCTCATCTTCCATCATGTGAGTCCCAGGAATCAAACTCCAGGTCATCAGACCTGGAGCCAAGCTCTTCTACCCACTGAGCCATTATGCCAGCCCTCAATTCACTCTCTTTTTTTAATGCTTATTTGTTTGTTTATTTATTTATTTATTTACTTATTTGTGTGTGTGTGTGCGCATGGGTGTTTTATCTGCATGCATGTCTGTGCACCATGGTCAAACAATGCTGACAGAGGCCAGAAGTGGACAGTAGACTTACTGGGACTGGAGTTACAATTGTGAGCTTCCATACATATGCTGGGAATCGAACCTGGGTCCTCAGAAACAAACAAACAAACAAACAAACAAACAGCTAGTGCTCTAAACTACTGAGTCATCTCTCCAGCTCCTCAATCCAGTATTTGTTTGTTTACTTTTGGTGTGTAGACCAGGCTGGCCTTGAACTCAGAGATCTGCCTGCCTCTGCCTCCCAAGTACTGGGATTAAAGTCTTGTTCCACCACGGTCTGGTCTCAGTCCTCTTAATGCGCATTAAGTACTTGGTACCATACCTAGTCCATACACCTAATAAAAAGGACTTCCCATGTTACAAGTGTTAGACAGTCACGTGCATATGCCGCAGAAAGGCAGGGACCTTTCAAAGACATACTGGAATGTCTGAAACAGAGTTCACACTGTAAGAGCTCCCAGGACAGGGACTATACAAACCACTGCCAACTAATGTCCCCCTATCAAATCTTTTCCAGCCCCCATTCATGTTATGTCATGTTCATGGAATCATGACACCCATTCACAACTGCTGGCTCCCAGGAAGGTAGTTCACACACTCAACATCTATACTTTGTGGTATCTTTTCTCCAAGGTCTCCTTTAATGAAGGCAACAACTAAAAAGCAAGCAAGCAAAAACCAAAAACACGTAGGAGATGGGAAGAGAATTTTCTAGAGTCTCTAAATGTGAGCAAGAACCATCGACTTCATCAGTGGCGATTATTGGACACGTGATTTTCCTTTACTAGCCTGGAATAACTTTATTCACATCTACAAGTTTACAGAGCTACCATTTGTGAAGTTGCTCTTGCAGAAACAAATTGAAAACCCTCCATAGATACAGGTGAATTAAACCTGCCCAGAACTGAATGGCTGAAAACTTAACCATCAGACTTAGCACAAGGGACAGTGGGCAAGGGCAGCTGGGTCTACATACAGCCACCAGCTGCAGAGCAGTGCAGACAGGGGTGCAGACTTCGTGGCATGGTCTACAGCTGGCTCTTTAAGCTGGTCCTTTCTGCATCTTTCTGCTCCTCACATGTTCCCTAAGCCATGTCATTCTTGTATCTGGGACCTGGTCCCCACTCCCTGCCTTGTTCCCACTGTGTGGGATTTCCTTTGCCCACTCAGATCCCAGACAGGACCATGGCCATCTGTTTGCAGCTCTGTGCCTCTTCAGCAAGAGCTCTTGCACAACAAGAAGCCTATTTTCTTCACACCCACTGCTGCGGTTTGCAGGTGGACTCAGGTGCACCTGGACTCAGGTAGGGTGTCTATTGCAAATGCTATCTCTGTCTCTAAGCCACTATATGACCCTGCGTAAGTTAGCCTTCATGTACTTCAGTTTCCCCATCTACAAAATGGGCACAATAATGGACTTACTGTAGTGGGTGGTTAGGTTTAAATACTTGTCTGGTATAGAGCAGGTGCTGCATGAGGGGTCTTTATTTCAGCCATCACTGTGGGTTTTAGATACATGTGGGGCTAAAAAGAAACCTCAAAGAGAAGGGAACATGTACACCCAGTAGCTAGCACATTTCTGGATCCAAGGGCTAGCTCATGGTCCCCTGTGAAGTAGACCACAGTGGAAAGTTTCTTCCTACATACCTGCAGAGAGCAGGAACATTCACACTGATTGGCAGCTATGACCTTCCTTCATTTATTTGTTTGGTCTTGCTATGTAGCCCAGCCTAGCCATGAGCTTGTAATCCTCTTGCCTTGGCTTCTCAAGTCCTGGGATCAGAGGCACATGCCACCACTTTTGGCCATGACCTTATTCTTTTCTGGGCTACTGACTCACCTCCACCAAAGCCAGCCAGCGGGAACTCCCACACTCTTGAGCAGCACAGCTAAACATTCAAGGAACCCTGACGCACAGTCACCCTCATTGGCTCCAAGTTAGAAAGGATCTGGTCTAACACCACTCCCATAAGGGATGGGAAACAGCCTACAGAGGTTGTGTATTTGTGCTTTGTTAGTACCAAGTTCTTCTATGTTACTCCTCATGCACTTGTTTTGTCTTACATGCTAAGAATATAATGATCAAGGATAAAGTTGGAAGGATAGAAAGGCTTCTGGAGGATGGTGCTTTCAAGCCCTATGTCCTAGTGTCTCCGATGACATATGTGTTGTGCTACAAATGTCCCACTGTTCATTTGATGGGTATCTCTTGACAGGGACACCCGCGACACAAGCCATACTACCCTGCCTTTAAGAAGGGTGGCATTAAGTCACCGTGAAGGCTTTTTGTTGAGAGTCAGTTATGTTCAAATACACTAGAATGAGCATCTTTACCTACAAGCTAACATGTTTTACAAGTAATAGAAGGAAGGCCTGGGATGAGAGGGGCGGTCAAGATAGGGTCCTAGAAACTACCTATTCTGCTGGGCTCACTGGTACAAGGGTTTAACATTGTCACACACCTTTAATCCCAGCACTTGGGAGGCAGAGGCAGGTCGATTTCTGAGTTTGAGGCTAGCCTGGTCTACAGAGTGAGTTCCAGGACAGCCGGGGCTATACGGAGAAACCTTGTCTCGAAAAACAAAACAAAACACCAAAAGCAAACATTGTCATTTTGTGGTTACAGTAGTAAGCTGGGAGCCTGAATTTGCTAAAGCTACCCTCATTGTTCAGCTGAGCAAACAGGTCTGAAGAAGTCCACTCACTTGCCCACAGTAGTATAGCTGACAGATTACAGACCCTTGGACTTCTGCAATGTTTCCTTTTAAGAATGGGCCCAAATCCTATGACATGATCTGACCCCTGCTCACTTCTACTGCCTATCCCTCACCATGCTCCAGCCCTCTCTATGATCCAGCTAGCCAGTGCTATTACAAAGCACTGCATGCACTCTGCTTGGCCCATACCACTCCCTCTACCAGAGACCCAAAGCCCATACCACTAAAGAACTTTGGTCAACACTCAAGACTCATTTGGGCTTCACTTCTCCCAGGGAGGTGTACTGGAGTTGGCCTCCTCTGCCTCCCACAGCACATAGAAACACTCATCACATAATATGTTCATGCATTCAACGAATATTTATTGAGCAACTTCCATATGCCAGACAACTTTGAGTACAGCAGTAACAAAACAAAATACCTGCCCTTGAAGGGCTTACATTCTGGTGAACAAAACAAACAACAAACAAATACACCACAGTGTCAGGTAGGTTCATGCTGTGAAGCAAACAGCAAGGGCTGGAGATGGCTGGGAACATCGCCTGGGAGACCTCTCTCAGGATGTGCTATTTGATCAATGGTCTCAAGAGGTGACAGAGAAAGCCATGCACATAGCTAGCTGAGAAAGGAGCATTTGTAGCAGCAGCAGTAGCAGCAATGGCCCTGCAGATGCCAGGACTACTTACTGCGTTTCATTCCCTACTGAACTAGGAATGCTCAAGGGTACATAAAGTGTGACTCCTTAGGCCCAGGACAGAACAGTGGATATTTACAAAATAAGAGAAGGAACCTGTGCTGTGTTGGCTGAGCAAAATCAAGTGTGTTTCCCATCTCTTCTCAGGGCTGAGATGAGAGCACTTGCTAGCCAACTTGAGTTTTTAGCTAGTTTCTATCCCTGGTCTTTTCACTAGGTCAGCAGCACTGATAAGTCCAAGTTTATCTTCCTGGCCCACTTATCCTTGAGCTGGACATGGGACTTTATCTACAGTTTAGACACTGTAGAACTGAGTCTCCCCAATCCTCCCCCAGTTTCCAAGGTGTGAAAATCAAGACTGAGGGGCTCTGACACCTGGGATTGCCAGACCCCTCCCCACCTGACTCTTGTTTCCCTCCAAACCAAACTTCCACTGGGAAATGGTTCTTCCTGTGGTCATCTCTCTCCAGTCTCCATTAAACTACTTCTACCGCAGCCTCAGCACAAGGCTCAGAACCTGGACCCCCATGCTCTCTGAGCATGGAATCCGCCCCTGGAATCTTTAGAGGACCAATGGCATCTATGCTCTAAATAAAGTCAGCCAGCTTTATTTACTCAGCCAATGGAAATAGAAACCTCTTGGATTCGTTGGTGCTTTGCCCCGCCCCGCCCCCTAAAAGGACTGAAATTAATTCAAGGGTGAATGATTCATCTCCCAACTCATGCTTTCACCCCCACTTACTGTCACCTACTCCATCCCCTGAATCAGTGTCTGCGGTAGTGGTGGTGGCGGTGGCGGTGGCGGTGGCGGTGGCGGTGGTGGTGGTGAGAAAGGAGGGTGATCTAAGTAGGTTGTCACTTGCTGAAACCTTGTGCAATCGCTAGGCTTAACTAAGCCCCCTAGTAGGAACGAACTGGCTTCACTTTACTGAGGTTAACGGGGCCAGAGAAGAAGAGCAGCTTGCTCAAGGTCGCACAGCTAAGTTGAAGAGTGTAGTGAGGCGCTGTCAAGTACAAACCTGGCCCAAGAGTGGCACTCTCAGCACTAAAGTTTACTAAACTTTAAATAGAACTTAAATGCAGAAAGCAAAAGGTGGCTCCTGGCCCCGGGGCCAGTGGCGTAGAAGACAGACACATAAACCAGGATCTACAACTTGAAGAGGCCAGGGCTGCAGACATTAGAAAAGCTGTAGGGGGGACAGAGCAGGGACTGGCTGACCTGACCTGGGAAGTGGCCCCAGGGCCAGGCCTCGGGACGACCCCCCTGTGCCCACGCGCGGGCCGGCGGGCCTCACCTCCTTCCACCTGAGCTGGCGAAGGCTGATCTTCAGCGCGTCCAGGGAGGTGCGGGCCTTGGAGCTGTCCACGGTGACCGGCCGCACTGAGCCCGAGCTCCGCCGGTAGCTCCGGCCCCGGCTCCGGCCCCGGGCCTTCACGAGCTGGTTCAGGGCCCGCGCCGCCGGCCTCGGCGGGGCCAAGGGCAGCGCGGGTGGCAGCCGCCGGACGACGCGGGCATCTCCTTCCTCGGGCGCGCGGCGTCGCGCCGGGGACGGGTCCCGGCCCACGGCCTTGGGCTGCTCCTCCCGCTCCGGATGCTCCGGCTCCCCGGCCGCGCCAGCGTCCACGCGCAGCTGCTCTCCTGCCTCCGCCGCTAGCGACTCGGCCGCCTCCGCCGCGTCCGCTTCCCACCCGGCCTCCGGCTCCTGCTCGGGGCTGCTGCGCCTCATGACGCTCAGGGCCGGTGCCGGCGCCACAGCCACCGCCGCCGCCGCTGCCGCTCCGCCGTCCCGGCCCGCGACCAAACTGCCGCCGCCGCCGCCGCCGCCGCCACGCGCTCCCCGCCGGAGCCCGTTGCCATGATCTCTCAGGCTCCGGTTGACAGGGATAGTCTCCGCCTCGGGACGGGGCCCGGCAAGGGACAATCGCCTGCCGGGGCCCGGCGACCTCACAAGCGAGCGCGCCCACGTGACCAGGCCTGTCACAGAGGCGGCAGCGGCCATCTTGGAAGAGGGCAGCGAGCCGCTGAGGCCCCGGCATTGGCAGAAGCTGCAAAGTTTCTGTGCGCTTAGGACCTGGCCAGGAACGGCCGATAGTGAGGTTGAGGGTAAAAGATGTTGCGCTCCTGTCCCGCTCTCGAGCTTGGAAAGGGAAGGAGTTGGGAAGACCGACATCTTCCTTAAACACGAGACTCAGTTTCCCCAGTCCTACACACACTGGAGTAACTCCAGACCTACTACATTCACCTACTCCGTTTCTGTGAGCCTCAGACTGAGGCGGGAGACCACCTTTGTCGGTTTTCAGGTATCTTCCGCAGAATGAAGAAGCCCTTCAGATTCCTAGACTTGTAGAAGACAATACTTTTTATTATAATAAAAAATGACAAAATGTACTAATTACTTTTTAATTTATTATTTTATGTGTATGTATATTTTTGCCTTCATGTATGTAAGTGTACCTTGTATGCTCCTGGTGGCGAGGGAGGCCAGAAGAGGACATCAGATTCCCTGATGTGACCTGCTGTGTGGTGCCAGAAAATGAACCCATGTTCTCTGGAAAGACAGCCATCACTCTTTAACACTGAGCCTTCTTTCCAGCCCTCATTTGATCTATTTTTAATTCACAGTTCAGTAGCACTCAGTACATTCGTATTGTGGTGCAAACCATCTCTCCCACTCTGCTCTAGAACTTTCCATATTGAAAGCATATCCATGAACTAACTCCTGGGATTCCCCACTCCAACCCCAGGTCTGGCCACCACAGTTATATTTCTCCCCTTGAATCAACTACTGGGGTACCTCTTGTGTTTGTCTTATTTGGCTTCTCGATGTTTTGTTTTTTATCATAGCAGCTGTCAGAATTTCATTCCATCGTAAAGCTTCTGTAAAAATTCTATGTGTGCATGCACAATTATTTTTCCATAGAGCTATCTGTGGACTTTTTGATTATGTTAATCCTTTGACTCTTGTGACTTATAGTGACATTAACATTCATGTACAAGTATTTCTTCAAGTCCCTGCTTTCAATTTATCATGGGTGTCATGTGTTTGTTTTTGTTAAGACGGTCTCTTTATGTAGGCCTGGCTGTCCCGAAACTAACTCACTATATAAACTACTTGGTACCAAACTCACAAAGATCGGCCTGTCTCTGCCTCCTGAGTGCTGAACTACTATACCCATCTAAGGTTGTCATAAAAATATAAAGTTAATCTAGAAGAGGACTCGGCTCTCCTGTCTGACGGAGCCACCTTTGGGTTGACTTAAAAGTTTTAGAAAATGGGGTTAGAAAGTTGTAACTGCACCCTGGACCATGTTCATTCATGACCAGCACCCAGTGGCCATGATTGCACTTTGGTGAGTTCTGCCACATTTAGTTTTAAGGGTTCTGAAGGAAAATGGCCCCTTTCTCCATTTCTCCAAAAGTCTTGTTTCTTTGGCCAGAAATTTTAGTGTGTGAATAAGCTGCCTTGAGGCCTTCCTATAGCTTCAAGAGCAGCAGGGCTCCTTTGTAGGAGACATGGGTGCTTTTCTTCAAGTACCGTACTAAGGGTCTTGGGGTGGTTATTTATAAAGCAGTATCTTGAACCCCTTCATCCAGAGACTGTGACCCAGAACATCCCGTTGAGCCTGTTGGGTGTGACTGGCTGTGGGGGAGGGTTGACCCTGTGGGTGTGACTGGCTATGGGGGAGGGTTGTTAAAGTTGTCCTGTTGATTCTCAGGCTGCAATATCAAAAACCAGAGTTTTGTCCGAGGCCTTTGGAGACTCCTGGAGCTGTCCATGGTACCTCAAAGAGCCCTTCTCTGCCTGACCATTCACTCTTCCTCTGGAGTTAGTTCATGTGTATGCTTTCAATATGGAAAGTTCTGGAGATGAATGTAGGGCATCCCAAATCTTGTCATGCCTGGTGTCTCTGGTTCCACTTGCCGCAACCTTCACTCATTAGTGCTTGAAAATTGTCAACACTTAATATACCCCACCCCACCCCTCCTCTCTTAAAGCCAGCCCATCCCTAAAGCTGTGGCTTTTACATTGAGATATCACTTCTCTTGCTGTCCCTGTCATCACTGTGTCAGGGCAGCCTCTGCCTTTTCTCTGAGCTGCTGCAGCAGCCTCCTCATGGGTATCATACATCTCTATTACATTCCTGTCTGTTCATACCACAGCTGGAACTGCTTCCTCCATGCTTAGAGACATCCCCTAGTTGCCCACCCTCTCTGGATAAATTTCAAACATTAGTTGTCTCTTTCTATCCTCAAGTCTGAAATCACACCCTCTCTTTGCTTCTGTGACTTTGTACACACTGTTCCCTCTGCCTGGATGTGTCTCTGCCTAGGAAACTCAAGAGTTGTCTTGGTAGCTGTCTTTTTGAGCAGCTTTTCTTAGTGCCTCTGGCGGACGTAGCTGCAGTTTGTATTGATGGTAACATGATAACCCTCTACCACACTTTAACTGATATTTCACAGAGAAATCACTTCAGCCTCCCTCATCAGTCTAGGCACGGACAACTTTGAACTAATTTTTCTCTAGAAAAGACCAGAAATGGTGGTCAACAAAGAGCACCGTGAATGTGGTAACAAATTATTTACAACTTAACAAATGTGGAAAGAGCAGCCCACATAGAGATAGCTGCTTAGTTGTACATTCATGATCTCTTCTGCCTCTGGAGTCTTTCCACATGTCCTTCCAGTTCTGCCCACTTCTTCAGCACAAGGCAAAATGAGGTTTCTGAGAATTAAAAGCCAGGCTCTACATCAGGAGTAGAATGGAAGCTGAATCTTGAGAATGGGGCAGGCAAAGTTAGATGGCGTGGCCATGGCCTCCACCATGGCCAGAGCCTGTGAAGAAGGAACCAAGTGCAGGTTCTGCCTACTGAGACACAGTCACAGAGGCTCTGTCCACCAAGATACCCCTCCCCCTGCCCCAGGGACAGTGCAGGAGCTCACTGAGAGAAGAGATAAGGAAGAGATTTCCTGTTGTGTATGCAAGGGGACAGCATCAGCCTTTGGGAGCAAGGAAGCCAACTGGACCAGATGAAACCCAAGCCTGCTAGAAGAAAGGACAGGGCACAAAGGGTCCGTTTGAGGTCCATTGCTGGGCTTTGGCCAGCACAGGAAATGCCTCACATTTCTCTGGAAAGCCCCCAGAAGGCGTAAATGGACATTCCAGCCCTGTAGGAGGTGCTGCCAAGAGCAGCATCCACTGTGACTGCTGAGCGCAAAGAGCAGGTCAGGATGAGAGACTACCTCACAGCTCCAAGGTGCCTCACTTGTCTGTTTCCATGACTGTTTTGCCAGTCTTGGAGCCAGAAATGAGGGCCACAATGACCTGGTACCTAGTCCAGTGCCTGCCAGAGAGGATGTACTCAGTAACTATTGTGTGAATGAATGAATGAATGAATGAACAAAAGAATGAATGAATGAATGAATGAATGAATGAATGAATGATTTTACATGGCTCAGATATTCCATACTGAGGAAGCAGCTAAGTTAATTTGGCAAATGCTGTCTGTGACAGCTTTAGCCCTAGAGAAAAATACCAGTGGTGTAACATCAAGGGAACTGGCAAAAGCACTGTAATTACTGTGTTTAAAAACTGCCCAACATAAAGAGAGCCTGAAAGAATTTAGAGACAAATGAGAACAGCTGTGACGCTGGAAACATGAGCTCTTGCTTGATTTTTTCCTTTCAGTTTCAGAAAAACCATCGTAGCAGCCTTGTAGTTCTTCACATCCCTGAACCCCCAAACCAGTTCTATTTCTGGAGATTGCTTCCAGGAATCAGAAAAGGCAAAGCTTTCCATCATAGCCCGTTATTGGTGAGTAACAGACCTATGACAAGCCCTGGACTGATCACTGCAGATGCCCTGCCCTGGCATCCTGGGGACAGCTCCAGGAGCCATGTTTCACAGACTGTGAAAGAGATTGCTGCTCAGAGAACTCATTTGCCCACATCAGTAATGGCAAAGACAAGATTCTAACTCTGAGTTGGCTCGAAGCACCTGAAATGTGCACATAGAAGATGTAAGAACACTAATTATTGGCTATGAAAAGAATGTAATCAGAGAAAAATCACTGGGAGTTAATATTTCCAAATACTAATAGTGATTATTCTGGGTTGTGCCTATTAAAATGAGTCTTATTTCTTCTTTATTCTTTTATATGTCTTCCAAATTTTCTGCAAAAAGCATGAAATTCCTTTGATAACTGGAAAATTAATTTTTAAATAAATTGACTATTGTTATATCACTTTTACAGCAGGTCCATTTCTGGAGGGGAAAGAAAGCCAGGAAGAAGTTGTCTAGTGAGAGGCACGGGGACTATCAGATTTTTTTCTGTTACTGTCAAGATCTGTCACCAGGTGGCGCTCAAGTCTCGACTTTTGAAGAGTTAGCGATTGATGGCCCGAGAAGGTGGCCACAGTAACCTGTACACTGAACAGCCTTTCCTGTCTCTGCACAAGGGCACAATGCTAGACTTTAGCGACTTGTGATCTTCTGCCTGGTACACCCTTCCCCTTCACTGTACTTAACCCATCTACTTAGTTAAACACCTTAAATTCCACACTTAGTTAAGCACTTTAAGGCCGAAATACGATAGCTCCTCTTTTTAGGACACCTGACATATCGTTTAAAATGAAGTAAAATTTAAACAACATCACATTTTAAGGACCCACACTGTCCACTATCTACTTGACGTGAGAATGAGCAATGCAAGAGTCCACAGCTGTGGGACCTTGCAAAATGTCATGCAATCCTCATCCGTGAATGACTCTTCCTATCTCTACATCCTGTGAGCAAGGACAGGAGGGAGGCTTCTGAGGAGGGTTGGAAATGAGAGCTGGAAAGCCTGGCAGAAACAATAGGGTCAAGAAACAAGTCCCCGGATGTTGAATAGGGATGGATTTGAGGATGGGGTGGGGGGTGGGGGTATAAGTGGGGAATGCTAAGGACTGGTAAGGCTTGCAAGGCCAGGCTCCAAACAAACCCTTCTGCACAGTTTTGAT